GGGAGGGGGGGGGGGGGGGGTGGTGGCACATTAAACCTCATACTCCTGTACTAGTAGGATCATATCCGTCAGTTTTAAATTATCTATTTCTCATTCAGTGAATAACAGAACAAGAGATCATAATTTTTTTTAGTGAGTTTAGTAAGTTACTATGACAACTTTTCCCATTTAGGAACAAACCAGTTTCATTAAAAAATATAAACGAAAGCACAAAAGTTTTAAAGGTGTACAGAAAAAAATTGAGGTAGCCAACCTGATACCAGTATAAAACTGAGGATAATTTGCCATATTTACAACAACCACAAAAAAAGAATTTTAATTCAGATATCTATCTAGATTCTAGATATAATGTTTCATATGATCGTCGGTCGTGGCAAGCTGGAAAATAATAAACAGGAGGTATCGAATAAGGATCGGGCGGGGGAGACGCTTATTCGATACCTTAGAATATTTCGACGTTTGATTTCTTTTCTATCTATGGAATTCTCTATTCTCCTGAGAGACCCCATTTCTGTAAGTTCTGTTTTATTTTCATTATTTATATTTAGTTACTGTCTAGCACTAACAGTCACAGCCATATAGAAAGGTTTGCCAAACATATCCTTTCATTAGTCACTGAGATTTCTATATTTTTCAGGACTGGACTAACTTTATTGAAGCTGTTTATAGCTATTGCAATTCTTCATTTAGCATGCGATACACACATTATATTATATTACTGATATGTCACCATCACAAAAGTACACTACGTTACATACAATTCCCATCACATACCCCCTACGCCCAACTCACACACATAAACACGCGCTCCCTCACCCCTCCCCTGCAAGCACACAACCCTTCAATACATATATATGGGACTATTAAAAAAATTGTAGACATTTGGCAAATCATTTTTTTACAAAATAAAGTTGTCATGTTATCGCTAAATTTTGTGTGTGATGAATTGGACATGTCTTCGCCACTCTGGTGTAAATTATTGAAACTTATTTCTGAATAATCGTGAAGATATAGGTCTTTATCTAAGTACATGTACTGTGCTAAAGAATGTTCCTTTCCGTTACCAACTTAGTATACGCCGTTGATTGGAAACTCTGGACAAAACATGCAATTTTTGGAGTTTATTTATTTAATCAGGCCAATCACCGGGGCGGTATGTTATTTAA